CAGTAAAGAGCCAAGGATGCCGGATACGTCCTCGGGGAGCAGGGTGGAAGAGCTTGCTGCACTGAACGTCAACAGTTCGTATGAAGCTCTATACATTAACATGGGTGCCAGAATAGATGGATACACACTAGTCAAACAGAAAAAGGAGCCCAGGGCAGACCCAAATATACACATGGACAATGTATTTGTGATAAAGGTGGCACCGCAGAATAGTTCAAAAGGGACTGCTCTTTTTCACTAAAATTGCACTGGGATGTGCGTTTGAGAAAAAGTAAACTGTGGTCTCCCTATTTCATACAACAGACTAAAAGCCATTCTTGGTGGATTGTAGATCTAAAAGTTTCTACAAGTAGCTTTAAAGAGTATCTTCAAGAGCTTGAATGAGCAAAAATTTCTTTAAAATGACACAAAAAGGGCCAATGATAAATAAGATTACATAAAATTAAAGATCTTCTGTTCTCCAAAAAAAAAGACACCATTAAGAGAGTCCATAGATGGGGGGAAGACAGATTACTAATAAAGGGCTCATATCTGGTCTCTCCCTCTAAGTCTCTTTGGAATAAAATGTAAAGGAAAAATCACACTGTTTTTCAAAAAAAAAAAAGGTAGCATCAGGAATCGTCTTCAATACACTCATTAAATAGTTAAGAAAACTGAAGGCAAAAGAGCTTGGAACTGAGGTCCCATGTCTCAGCCCGACGTTTTTTCTCCAATATTAGATAAAGATAGAGAATCAAGGAAAAAAATAAATGAAACATAAAACAACCTGAAAAACTCAATGATAAAAACACTCAAGAAACTAGGAATCAAAAGGAACTTCCTCATTCTGATAAAAGGCATCTAAAAAACCCTGTAGCTAATATCACACCCAAGGGTAAGAGACTGCATGGGCTCCACCCCCAAGAACAGGAGCAAGACAAAGGTGCCTTTCTCGTCTCTTCTACTCAAGGTGTGCTGGAAGTCCTAGACAGAGCAATTAGGCAGGAAAAAGGAATAAAAAGCATCCAAGTATGAAAGTAAGAAGTGAAAATACCTATTTCCATATGACATGATCTTGTAAATTTTTAAAAATGTAAAGGAATCCACTACAAATCCATTAGAACTGATAAAAAATGCAGCCAGCTTGCGTGGATCAGTATACAAGAATCAACTGCTTATTTCTATACACTGGAAACTAACACTTTGATAACATAATTAGAGAAACATTTCCATTTACAATAATTTGAAAAAGAATAAAATATTAGAAATAAATAACAAAAGAAGGGCAAGACTTGTATACTGAAAACTACAGAACACTTAATTACAGAAGGCCAAAGAAATGGGAAAACATCCCATGTTTATGGGTCAGAAGACACAATCTAAGGTAGCAATGCTGCTCCAACCAGTCTACACATTCCACTCAACCTCCGTCAAAATCCCAGCTGGCTTCTTTGCAGAAATTGACAAGCTAATCTTGGAATTCATGTGGAAATTCAAGGGACCCTGAATAGCCAGGATAGTCTTGAAAAAAAGAGAACAAAGTCAGAGGACTCAGACCTCCTGACCTGAAAACTTACTACAAAGCTACAGTAGTCAAACAACATGGAGCTGGCGTAAGGACAGACATGTGCACCAGTGAAATGGAGCTGAGAATCCAGAAACTGAATTTACTGAATCGACTGATTTTCAACAAATGAGGGGTGGGATGGAAAGTGTCTTTCGAACAAATGGTGCTGGGACAACTTAATATCTATGTTAGTAAGTGAAGCTGGACCCCTACCTCACATCATACACAAAAACTAAAAGCAGATCAAAGACTCAAATGTGAGCACTAAAACTGTTTTTAAAAAAAACTTACAAAAAAGCACCTTAGATTAGGCCCATGAAAAGCTCCTCAGCATCACTGTCCATCAGGGAAATGCAAATCAAAATCCGAATGTGATACCACTTCATACATCCTAGAATGGCTAAAACAAGAGATGGGCACTGGTGAGCGTGTGGAGAATTTTGACCCTTCACACAGTGCTGGTGGGGATGTAAAATGGTGCAGCCACTTTGGAAAGCAGTCTGGAAGTTCTTTAAAAGATTCAACAGAGTAGTTACCTACAATCCAGCAGTTCTACTCCTAGGTAAACACCTAAGAGAAATGAAAACATATTTTCACACAAAAACGTGAACATGAATGTCCATTGCAGCCGCACTCACAACAGCCAAAAAGTGGCAATGACCTGTTAAGGAATAAATGGACAAAGAAAAAGTGGTCCTACCACACAGCGGAGCATTGTTTACCCATAAAAGGCACGAAGTGCTTATATTTGCTAAAATATGGATGAACCTTGAAAAAGAATCCAGTCGTAAAAGCCCACCTCGTGGGTGGGTCTGTTCATACAAAATGCCCAGAACAGGCAGTTCAGTGTTTGGGGTGCAGTCGGAGAGATAGTCAGAGCGGTGCGACTTTGTGAACGGACTCGGGGACCTCGGACGAGTACACCTTAAATGAGGGAGTCATTTAGAGTGTGAGTCGATCTCGATAAAACTAGACAGGAAAGGAAAGGAAAGGAAAGGAAAGGAAAGGAAAGGAAAGGAAAGGAAAGGAAAGGAAAGGAAAGGAAAGGAAAGGAAAGGAAAGGAAAGGAAAGGAAAGGAAAGGAAAGGGAAGGTAGGAGAA